TATCCGGATTGTGTTCTATTTTCCAGTTATTAAGCCTTTTTTATGACTTGGCATTGGTGAGGTGGCGAATTACACATGTAAGGATATGGCTCATAATTTTGCATGGCCCAAGTACACGCAGCATGGGGATTTAAGTTAATTGGTTTGATTTTAATTAGAATGACTCTTATTGGCTAATAGAGAATTAATTTCTTGGCAAAATGGGACTCTTGTGAGTGGCTGAGTATAAAGGAAGTTGAATGGAAATTGGACTCTCAATTTATTTTGACTGGGACACATCTTATGGGGACTTTTCCTTCGGCTGGACGTGAACAGAGAGGAATTAAGGGGATGACTTATTTTGTCGTGAAGATTCAGCCGGGGAATTACTTTGAACAAGAGTTTAATTATTATTGCTTTTCTTCATTTGGATTGAAAACTAAGGATTATTAATTTTGTGTTTATTATTTAGCTATGTGTAGCTAACCACTTATTTCGATTCTAGGGACGTTGAACCCTCGATGACTATGTTTGATTAATGTAATTTTATTTTATTTTACTCGTCGTATAAAATTGATTGTGTTATTCTAGTTTCATGTCATAATGTGTGATTTTTAATTTAGCTTGATCACCTAAGTTAGGAATTACATATTAATTGCTAGATTTAAGGCTTCGATCCGTAATTGTCGTTGTTCTTAATTCACTTGTAGCAACTAACAGCCATGCATTGTTAGGGATAACACAACAAAAGTTACATGAACCGAGCTTGTGTGTTTGTGGCTTAGATCAGTCTATTTTCCTAGATTCTAATGCAACTAGCGGATTAAATTAGGAGAGCTTATTCCGAGTTATTCGCTATTTAGAATTAATTGAAGAGCCTATTTCGATTAAGTATAATTAAGGGAGAATTCGGGTAGTAGAGCTTATTGCTATCTAGGACCGGTAGTTTTAGAAGACGAGTGAGACTTGATAAATGCATTAATTGGGCTAGTTATTCGAGGGTGTAGACTGACCTGGGACCGATCTCACTCTCATTTTCACTAGATTAATTATTTATTTTTGATTTCATCATCTTTTGCATCTAAATCATCCCTATCTAGTTTTAGTTTAATTTCTCGTTTTGCTAGTAGTTTCGTTCTAAATAAAAATCCCCCATTTTTTATTTTAATCTAATTAATATAATAAAATCACAGTTTATACCTACTCCCTGTGGGATCGACCCTTGCTCAGTACTACTACTAGTTTGTAGGGTTAGTTGAGGAAATTCTATAAATATAAATTTTTCGTGAGACAACGCGCGGTCATTGGGCTAGAAAAAGGCAGTGCATGATATTATGTTAGTGACCCATAATATTATATAAGTAATTGGAAGAGTGAATCAGGCCCACAGTTAGTCCATTACTTAAAAAATCTTATTCCTAATCTTCTAAAGGTCTCTATTGTAGCTCTATATATAGATCACTAGGCTCATGGAAAAGAAAAGAAGAGATTAGAATTCTTCTACGAGATATATTATTCAGACGCACCTCTCTCCATCTTTCTCAGTTTTCTGTTCGAGCTTTATCTTCTTCTTTTTGCTCCACCGATACAAGTTGAAGAGGTGTTTGAGTAATACATTAGAAAATCCCGAGGTAATTGAGACATCATTATCAACCGGAGACGACGAGTCGCGACCCGAAGCCGCGGTCCGCCGACCCGAAAACCGTCGTCGATCACCGCCGTGACCCGGCTAGCCCGAGCGACACAACCGGCGCACCGATCCGCGACACGAGTCGATCCGATGCGACACGACCCCCGCCACCGGATCGTGTTCCCGACATCCTCGTGTGCCAATTCCGGTCATCCCGAATCTGCCAAATTTAGAAAATTTTAAGCCGTAAGTTTTCTACGTCAAATCTTTAGATCCGCTGCATAGGTTTATGTTTGCTATTGAATTCGTAACTTGTACATAACGAGATCCTCATAGATCACAACAACATGCACATCAGCTTCTACAAAACACTTTTATCTTAAAATGAATCCCCAGGGCGATATCTGATGTAATATAACCCTCCATAGGAAATGAAGAATCATTATCCGCTTTTGTATTCAATATATTTCCTGTATATGTTGCATTATCCACCATCTCGTCGGCCACCGTTCTCACAATCGCAAAGAAATTCATTCGAGGGTATGATAGTTCTTGTATTCTCTTATCAAGTTCACAGTACATTAAACGAGCTACATTACAGTTCATCAGAATGTCGTGGACAATCATTTGAGTTCTCATCGTTCATTGGTGCCTTAACAACCAAAAACAACGAATATTTTGTATAATCAACTTCTCTCTACTTCAACTCCACGTGATGTATTTTGAGTTCAACGAATATTTTGTAGAGATATTTTGTTGTCATCATCGATGCACATTGGCGGCAATCCTTCTTTCACCTGGTACTTGATCTCTAGCTTAGATGCTCGTGATGTAACTCCAAGTTCATCACACAATACCATGTATCTCATTATATCCTCAATCTTTTCGAACGAAAATATGAGATAATTTAAAAATTACTATACTAATTTCCAATCCACTTACCACTATGATGGATGAAAATTATCATTTCATTTGACATCTGAAAATTACACGAAATAGACAAAACAACTCATAAAAAAAATCAATAACCGATACAAAATAACACAACAAACATAAAAAAAGAACAACGAAATACCAAGAATATATCAAAACATATTATATAATTTTTTTGCAATCGATTATGATGAGTGCCTCACCTCTTCCGTGCCTTCTTCTATTTTGCACCCGTATGTAAATAATTATCCGGCGGGTGGATGATATCGGAAAATTCAAAACGACGAGACTCTCTTCCAGTGTTCCCGATTGACCTTTTTTAGAATTTAAAATCAGATTCCCTATTTTCCGCAAGCTAATTCTTTGTGCAATTTGAGTTTTAGTATTGTTGGTGGCTCATATATTGACAAAGGAAGGAGGCAGGCTGATGCCTGTGAGCGTAGCGGAGCGACCGAGTGAAGCGAGCGGAGCGGAGCGAGCAGACATCAGCCCCTGTTGGGCTGG